TCCCGGGTAACCTTAGGGATGGAAAATAGGACATGTAAGAATCAACTAAGAATGRGAACTGGAAGAAAGATATAAGAAAATAAACACTCATAACTCMGCCATTAGTAGCTTTGGATCCGTGTAAGCGCTCTCAGAGCGTACCAAGTCAATAAGATTAACGYAGTATTTTTTCACAAAGTGTACTTTTTATTTCACTTTTATCATCAATAACACTTTAGGGCCAAACTGGCACCAAGCAAATTCAAATAAACCCCTTATATTTTGACATAAAAATCTTAGTATCAAAAATAAATAGAGCAAATTCTAGGTTCAACTTCAAATACGATGAATTATTCAATGAAGTGAATACAAAAAAGGGCCATAACTCAATAACAGTACTAGTGAATTTACCAAATAAAAGTGTATATGGCTCTAAATCCTTTTGTTTTGCGAGTAGCCAGAAAGGAGTAAAACGTTTTCCGCATAACAGCAAAATTATTCCAATGCTGCTTGCTGTATATGTAAATACTAAGATTATTCCAGATTATTTGAAGACTTATTCAGTGTGACGTCTTGTGGCAGCTACAAGACACTAGGGAGCGATCCTCGTATTTTTTAACTGTACAAGATATCTACAGTTGCCTCAAGCGTCTTGAGTTTTATACAAGGTCTTGAGTTTTATACAAGGTCTTGAGTTTTATACAAGGTCTTGAGTTTTATCTCATCAAAAGACAAAATTGCACCGTAGAACGACGCCATCTTCTACCTAGGAAAATGTAAGTCCTCCGTTATCTAAAATCAGTTTTTGTGTCCTCAGTCTTTAGAAAAGCAGCAAAACTATTTGCATCTTTGGAAAGGAAAAAAATCTAAAGGGAAATATTTCAACCGACATAAAAAATGCGAGGACCACATCTCGCATCATACTTTCCTAATGTTGTGTAGAAAATGGCGTCGGTGTTTTTCCTATTACACACCCACTCTTGTGACAATGATTCGTTGTCATGTCAAACACTGTACATAATATGAATCTAATAAAAGATATCCCTTGTCAAAAGGAATGAAAAAAATAACAATTACATTTGAATATTATACATATGAACCCAAAAATCACACAGGAGTAAAGAAAAATTGACTGAGTAGACACTTGAAAAGTCGTCTTGAACTGGCAGAAGCTTAACTAAAGGCTGCCAAGAAAAATAACTCAGATTGRGAAAACTTCTGTMAGCCAAGGACTTCAGTGAATAAATTGAAAACCGACGATACAAAAATCGAGCCAAAGTTTTCGGCTCATAAATAGGATATTTAAATTCCTCAATTTCGTTAGATTTTGAAAATATTTATAAAAACCGCAAAATTCTTTTCTGTTTAGAGCGGTTCTACGTAAGAATTTCTATTATATGTCGACCGGTACACAAGAACCTCTCTGATCAAAACGTCTAAGATCAAACCAGAAATGCCTGTAATATCRCGGTGAATTGAGTATTAGCAGCACATACTCGTACTTGTGACATTCACAAKTGAACACTTGCCATAAATGAAAGAGCTGTTCTTAATATATGATAGCGTTCGTATTATAAAGGTGTTCGTTATCAGAGAGGTCCAACGGCACCAACAAAAGTCAACACTTATCACCACGTGAAGCGCGTGAATTGTCGCTTGGATATCATTGACTGCACTGGATTTGAGCCTTCTTGTTGGGCATCAGACGGTCAAAGAAGCATTCCAATAAACATCGCGCCTATAATGAATAGAAAKACACAATAGTGAGTTATTTGAGTYGCASTTCATTCTRGCTGGTCGTAATCAAACACATCGGGAGAGAACATACCTTCTTGAACGACTTGGCTGCAAGTACGTACTTTCCATATTTGGTAGCCAGAGAATTCGACTTGATGGGACTACATATATAAAAAAAAACAAGATAATATCAACCACGCATATACGGATTAAATTATCATGAGGCATGATRGTATCGATAAACGACTTACTTTCCAAGCAAGGTCTCAAAGGAGGTGACTGCACCGTCTCTTAGAATTGCTATCAACAAACAAGGACTTTGGGCTATCTGTGCTGCCTGTGAGATACATAAAATGAATTGAACACTACATCCGTCTAAACCAACTTGATAATAGTGAGAATTATAAAACTATAAGAGCGTGATGCGATAAGTTAGGTTTTTCTTTGACCAACACGGTTTTGATGGTGACGTAATCATGATGTTGATGACGAGCGTAATGACGACAAAACAATAAGTATCGACTAGTAGAAATAGCTACCTACCAACTGGTATGGCTTCATRTCACATGGTAAACTATCACTATACATCCTTGCACAGTGCGCGGCTTGATTATCGTTAAACCGCAACATACGAACTCCAACTAGTTGAGCTCCAGCAGTTATCAATCCATCAATGATTTCAATAAAACCTGGAGTTTGCTTGACCGAGGAGGATCCCCCTTGCCACCTTAAAAGGTCTGGTAGAAGGAGAAGGCAGTTTAACTCTAGCAAAGACGGTGGAAGGAGGGTCGTAAATGCTTCATCTTTGTTGGTGACAGTGTCGAAATCCTCGGGAACGTCGACTAGGGATCGTCGATGGTCAACACTGAAGATCTTGTCAGATGCAAGGCAGGGAATCTAATAAAATGGATATATTAATCTATAACTTGTTGATTCTGTGCGCACTTCCTGATTAGCTGTGATGCACATCTAATTTGCAGCGAAATCTGTACGAGTGCAATCAACCTACAATGAATTATACAAGAATAAATAATTGACTTACTTCTTCGGCTTTTAGCTCAACAGTCGGGGAACAACAAACGCCGTGCGTAAACAGAAGCTTGTGGTCCTTCATTGAATCGTAATATGAACACGACCCTGAAAACAAGTCAAAATATTCTGTAAATGTTTTACTTTCAGAAATAGGAATCATTTCGCAGTGCATACAAACTTTACCATATAAAGCATTGGAGATCTTGTCTRTTCCATACGATCCTCTCAAATAGAATTGAGACTCGTGTCTGCATTCTTCAGGGCTGCTTGGTCCCAGTACCTCAAGTAGTTTACCAACTGCGTTTTCACGCTGGATGCTCATCACRAGACATGGGCCCGAGGAAAGGTGGCTGGCATGAGCACTCTGTAAACATGGGAAATTAGAGGTTCGTCAGTGAAATAACATATATATGTGACTTGGGTAATATGAAATAGTGCCCGTGTTAGCAGGGTAATAAGTCGTGTAAACAAAATGCGATTAAAAGCAAAAGTACCACGTATAACGCTTACCATGTCAGTTTTACTACATCCCCAGTCTCTTGCAACTACTGCTACTGCTTCACTATTCGACAGCATGTCCATACGCATATTAACCACCAGAAAGCCCTCCCTGGCAAGTCGCTTGAGTACCTTRCCAACATGCCTTGGTACAGCATCGGGTTTCACTATACACACCGTATTCAATAAGCTAGGACCAGCAAGGAGACTAGATATTATAGGGGCGTCATCGGGTAACAAAGCCTGCATCCCACGCCCTGTCGAGACGTTGCCACGTCCTGACTTCTTGCCTTTCTGCTTCGGATTAGGACTCGAGTTATTCGTATCAGGATGGGTTAAGTCCCTTCCAGCATGGGGTAAAAGATGCAGATTTGAGCGCTTGGAATGATCTGCATATAGTTCATGCTCAAARAAGATGGCGGTCAGCTGACGGTAGGCAATTTCTGGTGTACAGGACATAAACATATCTGGGCATGTTCCATCCTTGGTATGTTGAGGGCGTTTTCTAGGTGAGCAGCCATAAAAGGAATGAATAAACTGTCTTAGTCTATCAAAGGCGTTGATGCCTCTAAGGGCGATGATAAGAGCAGGTCCAGAGGTCAACGGTTTCAGGCTGCTTTGCCACAGTTTATCACCTATCTCATAAGGCGTGAATTCCTTGGCCTGATGAAGAGTCATCGATGTTACTAGCTTGATTCCAAGCAATTCAAAACCACAATAGTCCAGTTCGTCGTCTTCAAACATCATATCTGACGGTCGAGGAGAATTCAAGGTAAGGTAATCCAGGATTGCATGGCTGTGCTTTGCTGCTTTTTCCTTCATTAGAGTGAGCACGCAAACCTGTTCCARCTCTGGGTTTGAGTAGAATGAATGGCTCAGCGATGCTGCTACATACATGTTCGAGTTTGGCATTTGCTTCATCTTACYGCCGACTACATTAGCGAAGTGATCACTATAAGGTGCAACAGCAAAGCACATTTTGATTGCGGCAGCCTGGCCACGAGTAATGACGTCACTAGGGAGGAAATCAATACGKGCAAGCTCTTCGGTTAGTGATCTTACAAGGGATGCTGAATGATGGACGCCRTTTTCTTTACGCAAACAAAACATTGTTGATGCTACTGAAAATGGGTAGCTATCTTCAGACTCRTTGATGTCAAACGTGGACGCGAACGACGTAGTCAAGTCCCCACCGTACGATCTCAAAGGGCAGAACACAGACATCTGTGCCGAAGTGAGGCCAAGAGCGTCTCTGTTRCCATCCTTAAACTGTGGGGGATGGAGCCTAATTCTTCGTATACCATTTAGAGTGAAACCTCTAGAAAAACAAATCGCCAGAATATAGCCAAAACATCGAGGTAAGATAAGGGGTGAGGCAACTATAACAACCAACGAWTCTGTCGAAGCCACAAGTGTGCAGGGAGGAGAGGGTAGTGGYGTATGAAGTKGRCTTGTAGGAAGCTGCTCATCTTTTCTCCCCCTTGATCCTGACCTTGGTCTTTGAAYTACAACGTCATCACTGCCGATGTTCAAGGTATCTCCTGGAGGGACGCGACCACCAAACCAGCGCGCAAGCTCTGCGTTCGCTCTCCCAGAACGCCTTGGGCAGTAAAACARGTGATCTTCCTTATCATCATTACTGTAGATGACTCGGAGAGAGTTCGGGTTAGTACGACGAGCAAGCCAGACGTCACTAGGTCCAACGACTTCAAACCATCGAACTAAGGCATCTGGGCCTCTGATTGCCAACGCTAAAAGAGGGCCTTCGCGAGGGAAGACATTACACGTTGAATGGTCAAGACCTGATAGAAACCAAAAAAACATAATCATAGGTAATAAATAATAGAATAACAGTAATGACCATTGCTTAAGGGGACTTACCAGGCCTTTCTTCCAATGGGATATTACTAGTGTATAATAGCCTTATCCCAACAAGGTCAAAACCTTCACTCCATACGCGATTTAGTACATCAATCATACATGAAGGGTCATGGAAAGCCTCGTATTGAATCAACATCATTGTGTTGCTCATCTCGGGACCACAATTCTCGATATTTGAAGAATGATTATCAGTCGACTCCTCGACCTCCATCGTTTTCCAAAAGAACCCAGGCTCTGCACCGAATACGCGGATCATAGCCTGGGGATCAGAGTTGATTACCAGAAGCGTTGACAARTTCTTATTTCCAATGGCTGAATCGACAAAGATGGCGGGATAGCTGGATAACTTGGTCAAGACGCTACAGAGAGTATTTGTCCTCAGRAATTTTGAGACGGAGGACTGAAATGCATTGCCTCGACCTCCCTGCTTTGTGCGTGTTGGTTGGAAATTATCTCTACTGCAAATCCCAATCTTCATGGAGAGTTCTCCTTCGTGCCATGTTTGTTGCAGACCAATGACGTAAAAGGGTGATTCACAGACATCTGCAAAGTCTACGTAGTACGTTTTCTGAGGTACTGGGACAAGAGATAATAGCCAAGCTATAAGGAGATTATACGCGTGCGCATCTTGTCCCGTGTGGGTGCCTTTGTTACCCCCTTTACCACTACTGGCTTTGTTACCCCCTAGTGAGAGTTCTCCACAGACCGGGAGMGAAATGGACAAGAGAAGGTAATGCTTGTTGGCATAGTTGTCAGGTAGACACATCGGTGCAGCTTCGTATGATGCATCCTACACCAAAAACAATAACGATATTTAGTTGATGRTCGCTCGAGTTTTGCTCAATTTACGTAGAAATACCGCATTGGCCAACAAGGTGAAGGCGACACTATTCATGGACAGAAAATGTATTTTGAGTATATTTGGTTTATTTTTTAGATATGGATACAATGTTTGTACATTATCGAAGGATACCGACCTTGTGGTTACTTACCATATCATATATAACTGGTGTATGGGGTGCGGCTATACAGACACGCCCTCCTACAGACCTTGTCTCACGTTCTCGCTTGACGCTTTCCAATCGGTGCTGTATACGCTCTTTTTTTGCTTTCAACTTCTCATTGACTATCTTTTGCTGCTCCAGTTCTTTCTTTGAAAACTTGCTTTTCACTTCTTTGTTATTTCGGGGGGTATTCAGTTTTGATGACTGTATTTTATTGTTAGTTAGTTCGGTACTTTTGGCTTTAAAAAGTTCTTGTATCAGTGGTTTATGATTTTCAGAAAATTGTAAAGGCGTGATAATTTCTTTTTCAACCTGTTTCACTGGTATTTTTTCTTCAGGTTTGTTGATTGACTTTGCTTTTTGTGCGTCTGACTTGTTGTTTTTTTGTTCGTCCACTTGAATTTCTACCCAAGCTTCTTTGACATTCTTCTTTGGCGCTTCTTTATTGGAAGATGAATCTCTCAGCTTCTTACTTTCTGCAGCTAAGCGATCAAATTCTGGCGATGGAATGAGAACAAATTCAGCAACAGTTTCAGTTGGTGATATGTGTTTATTAATGAGAATGTAATTCTGTTCCTTGCTKGSYTGTACTTTCTCGTCATTCTCTTTTATTTGGATTTTCTTTTTTTCTTTAATCTCAGAGCATTTCTCTTCCAATGGGGCGATTCGAGCAGCTTTTGTAATGSCAGACTTCTTCTYATGGTTTTGAAGAACATTTGTTTGCAAGTTAGTATCTTGTTTAGTTAATGATCCTTGTASATTAGATGACCCCTTGTGTGTWGTTGTAGCTACTRYAGCTGCTTGATTCCTTGCAGCGATCCCTTGTTTTATTCGTCTACGTTGCTCATGCCATAATTCCATGTCATTTTCATCATCAGAGCTACTGGAGGAACTATGGAAAGTGAGAAAACATCTTAAGGAATAAAGGTTCAGAAAAATTGAAAAGAGGAGAGGACTTATAAAGGTAGGCTCTCCAGGCTATAAGGAATTATTATCATTACTTCAGGGAACATTAGAAAACATTTTAATGTACCTGTCTTCATCTTGAATACCCAAAATTCTCTGAATAGARCTTGATACTGATTCTGATCCCTGGAAATTTAATTCAATGGCAAAAGTGYTTTTAAACTATGATAATATTATAATTGAACACAATATTCTGTTAGTGCATCTATATGATGAATGTTTTCAAATTAAAATCAAATYCTTTTTGACTCTTTAAAGGGATTAAAGTCCAGAACATAGATAAAGTATCTCCTGCTTCTCCTGACTTCATAMGGTAAACACAATAGACAATCATTACCATGACTGCATCTTTACATAAGCAAGAGATTTGTCCTGTGTCCTAATTTGCATATGACTTTAACTTTTAATTTTTTTTCTTAAAAATAATATTTTATCTTGAAGTTTCCAGCAAAATATGCTTTAGGTTATGTTYGAATTTGATAATGATATAAAATATTCATGTCCGACCTTTATAGGTTTTTAAACTGCTTGCTTGTAACTCACAGTTTTAAATGCCGATAAAGGTCTCCTGCTCATATATCATATATTACATAAACACACTGGTTAAATGGTATATACAGTATGCAGATTTGGATCAGAACGGAAAATTGCCATTTTGCAAGTTTATTGGCAGACATACAAGAGTAAGGAAGAGGACCATTTGACCAGGGATGAATTGCAAAATTTACAACTGTTACTACATTTATTGTACCTTCCCATGTATTCTTGGTTCAATTTTCTGATTGCGAACATCAATAAACACTGTTCCTCTTTCTTGTGAAACTCTTTTGTTTGCATGATTKACATCACCATGAGATGACAGACCTGGAAATGATGCACTCACACCAATAGATGCTGTTGTCTGCCTGGCCATTGTTCCTGTATCATTGTATAAACCATCTGCTTGAATACCACTATCCACAGTCTTCATGTCACTCTGCTCAGGAATYGATTCACTCCAGGATACAGCTTCATCCTTTTGTTTCTGAGTGAGATTCACAAGTTGCCTCATCAGGTCTTCACTGCTTGAGCTATTGTCATTAGAATCTGAATCTASTTCAGCATTGTTGTTAGTGTCTGTCTCAAGGGGAATTATGTCTGGCCATAYAGGAATTGTCACATCGCTGACTTGTTCCATCAGGCTTGAGAAATCGATGTCTGCGAGACGTGCAAAGTTTAGCTGGATGGGATTGTCTTTGGCTTCTTGTTCTTGGACATTTCTTGAATAAGTTGCCTTCTGAGAGGTTGATGGGATAAGCTCCTTCTCGACAGTTGTCTGTAAGAATTCATATGAAAATTATTCAGACCATCTTGTAAAAGTGGTTTGCAAAAAATTTTCATACAATTATTAATAGACTTATAGATATCAATAATAAATTGGATATGCTGTATAATGAAAACAAGCTCACTAAGAAGGTATTATATGCAGTGTAAATGACTTTGACTGGTTGACTTTACTACAAACTGCCTGCCCATCGTTTCTTAACAACTAAACTATTATTGTAAAGTTCTGTGGATAAGTCTTGTCAGAGGGATAAATATACCTTATGATTGCAGCTGTCATTCAGATCAGACATAGAAAGGCCACTGTCAGTTGATGTTGATGAACAGGTTTTTCCAACTTCATCTTTGACATCTTGAGTGTTGATTCCTGATTCATCATCAAGGACTTGAAGGGWTTCTTTGAATGCTTCTGTTACATGTAGATCTTCTGAAGATGTCAAGGAGGTAAAATCTCCACTTCTATTGAATATTACTGGTTCTTCATCACTATTCAACTAAAATAGTTTCAAACAAATAATTCATCATCATGACTTCACATAAAGTGTAGAGTGCAAAGACTTGTTCAATGAATCAACACGAATACGACTAGAAATGCATTACTGCTGTTTGTGGAGGCTTTACGTTATCCAACTTGTTGTGCACACCTTGATGTTTAGGTCTATTTTGAGTTTAGGTTTAAAAACTTGTGAAAGTTGGAGCTCAAATGAATGTTGTCATAGAACCATTTTTATTGCTCAATTTGGTCACGTATGTCAAGTACCTCACATCATTACACATCATGTAATAGAATGATAAGCTACTCTATGAGGATTTAAAAATTCAACAACAAATTTTCCTCTTCTCTCACTGGTGAAGAGTCAACCAAGTGACACAATAGTGCTGCTGCGGAAGGATACTATCAGTKCATAGAGCTCCCTGCTTGAGAAAATTCTGTTGTTGAATGATAAAAACAATAGGGTAGTTTTAATGTTGGGATTTTGCTGTTATAGTTGCCATTGGAAACTGTACTATCATGCATTCTCAAGGAACTATATGATTTTTGGAACTTCCAGTTTTTGCTGGCAACTATCATAGCATAAAACCCTCGATTCAACTACTTTATTGTTTAAATAGYGTCAAAAGTTGTGTGGATCAAAAAGTAAACAGCTACAATAAACTAAGTTCATGATGTACGTATCTGGCTTTCTCTAGCTTCAGAAAATCAGCAAAGCAATGAAATAAGCTTAGTCCAAAAATTGTGCGAAAAAAAAATAACAACATTTATCTTAACAAGGCGACTAGATTATCTTTAAGAATTTTTTAAGAGCAGTGTTAAAGAGGAAATTCTGAACATAACTTAAGTACAAGCTTAAAAAACTTTAACCTTGAACTGATAAATCTCTATCGTAACTAAAAAGTAATACTAACCTCAGAGTCACTATCAGAGCCAATTACTGGAATATTAGCTTGCACCTCTGCAAATATATTRTCCAAAGCAGGTTTGAGACCAGCACGATACAACTCCGACTKTGRCAGTGAAGTTGAAGGAAAAGTTTCTTCGTCGTCACTCTCGTCGCTTGAACTCATACTGGACCTTCAACTTAGGCAAAAGAACCGAAACATATTTCTAAAAAATAAAGGAACTTATACAAAAATGTTTAAAAGTTTCATTCTCAAATGAAAGTATTGCAATTTTCTGCTCATTTTGAAGGAGAGTTTACTTCTCAACAAACTCTCCATCTGACGCCATCTTGTTCACCATGACACCGCACTAGCTAGTTCCCAGTCTCAATTTCGAGACAGTCACCTGATATATCCGTACATTATACTTATTTTCTGACTCCTTTTTGATCATTTTTGTGCCGTTTGCCCGCTCCCTCCGTAAAGAAAATCCTGGATCCGCCCCTTCTATTAAACAACATATATAGATATGAAACATAGATGAGTCAGGGGCGGATCCAACAATTTTCAAAAGTTTTTTGTTTAGCAAAAGAGGGGACTCGAAAATTGAGCCAGTCTATTGTTCTCTATTCGGCGAAAGTTGTCGAGTGATCCAGTGTTCTTCAATCCAAAAGACCTGAGGTCGAATTCAAGTAAAGACGTCGTTCCATGCAGTCCATATATTTATCTTTTTTCACAAACTCAGTCTTTTATTATTTTTTCGCTATCTATTTCGTCATCATCTAGCCTGTGTACATTCGTTTCTCACCCCTTACCAAAAACCGGGAAGAGAACGTCTGTGATTTGYATCTTGTTGACCCTTGTTCGGTTCATTTTTCAGAAAACATTTTTCTCTTTTTATCATATGTAAGAATTTTGTAGGATAAAACAATCGGAACTACTCTTAGTGCGTAYTCGAATAGAGACCGGAAGTCCGTGAAATGTTCTCTTCGCGTTTTCAAAAACATTTGGTGCTTACAGTCAAACTACCTGAAGCGTGAACACGTAGAGATCATTAATGAATTCATTATTCCATTATTGATTTGATTCTTGGATTCAAATATTCATCATTGAGTTTATTAGTCAACTTTTCAAAATTTTGAAAATGTTCAGTTATCACCCATGCACGTATTATTTTCATTTATTCTATTCGTTTTTGCATGCTTGAATATTTTTCAATATTTAAAACTTCATTTGAATAATGAATATTTGAATTCAAGAATCAAATCAATAATGCAATATTGAACTCATTAATGATCACTAGGTGTTCATGCTTCAGGTAGTTTGACTGTAAAAATAGACCGTCGATAAGTTAGTTTGGGATTCCTTTGGTTGGAAAACTTTTTGTCACGTGACAATTGGCCGTCGTGATGACAATCTTCCTCATTTGCTTCATATTTCAATCAAATTGGTAACGAAGGCCTCCAAAAGTATTTGAAATTTAGCGATTGATTTGTTTTTACACCATTGATGGAATTGAGTGTGCTTCTTGACGCATAATGRGATGTATTGGGCTGTATAGTGTTTTATGATATGACTCACATTGGCATAAACTTTGCTTCAGATGACTTGTAAGTTTATAAGTAAATATCTTCAACATGTCTCGTCGTTAGTACCCTATTTTTTGCGGTCTCGATGACTGTCAATATGGAAGAATYATACACGTGTGRCTTCTGAAAGACATTCCAGGCCTGAAGAGAACGTAGAAGGACGAAGAAATGTCTTGTATTGCGTTAAAAACATCTTGACTTCAGTACTATATCGATGGCATTCTCTATAGCACTGCATGCGATAATAGTGGGAGTACTGTTATCGTCAGTACGTCCTACGAACGCCAAATGTGGCGGAAAGACATTATTAAAAGAATTACAAGGGACTATATCAGACGGACCAAGTGACTATCCAGAAAATCAACGCTGTGAATGGCTAATTGAAGGTATTAAGAATTTTACATTTGGGAATTGGATGGTGCGTAAGCTTTATAGCTGGCGTTGATTGCGGTCTTCTATGATGTTATGCTCTTAAGTTTATTTGTAGCTAAGGTGGGAATCATTCCACTCATCATGTGGACATTATTTGTCTGAATACTTCAAAGCTTTTCGCGATAAATGTCGAGCTTGATTAAAAGTTTCGTTAGCAATAAAAAAAGAGTATAATACTTATGTTTCTGCATTCTGTCTGTCAGTTTGAGATCGTATTTCAAGGTCCACTGTACAAAACAAACTTTTTTCGACATTCATTTTATTTCGTCGTTAAAATATCAAATTAAGAGTCACTTTTGAATCTCTAATTTAGGAAAACTCGTCTGGAATAGTCGAGAGGTGTTAAATGAATTCGATTACAACTAATCTAGCTGTTTCTAGTTTCTGCAGAGGAATAATTATATTCTCGAATTTTGAATCTAATTAGTCGCTCAAATATGTTTCTGCATAACAATTCCAGTATTAGTTATCTAAGCCTATAGTTCCTGTTTAGATGATGGAAATGCTTTACTATAAATTTTGATTAAAAATTTGCTTATGAGCTTTTTTAGGATTAAGAAAAAGTTGTGAAAATCATAACAATAAAAAAAATATATTTTGTTTACATTATTTCTTTACTTATTTCAAACGATGAGTGCAAATACGTCAGTGATTAACCATACTCCATTGATTTTAAGCTTATTTTCCGCAATGAGGCATTATTAGAATAGTTCCTATGTGCCAAAAAACACCTTAATGATTGATTTGCCACTGAAGCGCTTGATTCTGTCTGTTTCTAATCAATGTTACTTCTATTTTACAAAGAGGCACAATGACTTGGCAGTTAATAAGTGCCTTTGTATTTCTTTATACTATTTAAATAACAATAGATGTAAAAATAAATAAATATATTTACTTCCTTAATGAGCATTATAATTTTTTTKATTATAAATTCTCATCATTCTTATTTACTGGTATCAATGGCATCATAGCTTTTAACCCCACCATTGTCGTCATCATTTTGATTGTTGTATATCTGTACACTCATTTGGCCTATGCATTAAATCTGTTTATGAAAACAGTTTTTTTAGACATAAATGTGCTCATCGTGTGTATCAACAGACTTTAGATAATAAAAAAAAAAATCATTCAACCTCCATCAATCGTACAATTATGTCAAACAATCTAGATTATTATATTTTTTTCTCCTTCATTGTAATTCTGATTATTGTTTATTTCTATAGCACCAAAAGACAATATGACAATAACATTGGACTTTATAGAATATGGAACTGAATGTACTTATGACTATTTATTCATTTATGATGGGCCATCGTATCAGTCAAAGCTATTAGGGAGCTTTACTGGGAATAATATACCAGCATCTATTGTTGCRTCATCAGGAAAGGTAAAACTTCAGTCATGTTTATGTGCAGTTGTTTATTGAATTGGGTTTATTAAGCTAAGCATGTGAGTTTGGAAAGAAGTTGTATTTTCTACTAGCTGAGGAACGAAAAAAGTGGAAAATGTTTTCTCTCACACCATGGGAGCCTGGGCCGAGAGGCCTTAATCACGTGGGCAGGGTTTTAGTTCAGGTGCTTTTTCGCTGTCTGCCATCGACTAAGTTTTCACCCAGGCAGTGCACACCCACCCTAGTACAGTGCTTGTAGTCACTCAGAATTTTGTACCGAGGAGAAATATTTTGTAACTTGATGTTAATAATTTTTAACAAAATAGTTTGGTGGTGGTAGTGGTGCATTGTTTTGATTCTTATGACTGTGAAAACTAAAATTATAAACTCACRAGAATGATATTGAAGGTTGCTTATTTTTTTGTATTATTCCTAGATGCTGGTACATCTCTTCAGTGATACTAACTATCGCTTGAAGGGCTTTAAAGCTAACTATACTATAGAGAATTGTCATAGACAATGTTCAGGTCATGGAAATTGYGTGAATGGGCAATGCAATTGCAATATACATAGGCGTGGCAAATATTGTGGTTTRAGTTGGTGTCCAAGTAATTGTAATTTTGATACTAATCGTGGGAAGTGTGACTTGGTAAGTTGTTAAGATTATCATTCTCTTCTTACTACCTATTGATCTGCACCAAACTGACATCAATCAATTACATTAGCTATTTGAATGGCAGTTGACGTTAATCTGTCAATCAAATTGAATGTCAATTTTAATGTCAATCAATGTCTTAACCAATTYCTCAAATACCTTTGTCMAGGATAACAAGCACTGTACATGTAGTCCAGGTTTTGCAGGCGAAGATTGTTTTCTTTCCCTTCTCACCACTGATAATACCAATGCYTGGTACAAAATGGTGACRTATTCACRGTTATTTACAYCRCGATTGGGTCATGCTGCTGTTTATGATCAGAAAACAGACTTAATTTGGTCCTTTGGTGGTGAGTACTCTATATTATTTATGTTTATTGACTTRGCTTATAATTATGTCCTTTTGTGTTCATGATGCAAAGTTGCTTTTGGGAAAATATGTACAAAATGTGCTGATATATCAATGCTTGGCTGCTATGTATTCCATATTAAAGACGCATGTATCCAAGAATCATTGTGCAATTTTAAGGTAATTGATGACCGATATTGTTCTCATCTATGTCAACAGGCTTTGATCTAAATTCTGCTGATAATGATTTACTCAAATTCAATTTAACAACTGGGCAGTGGATACAAGTGTCTACAGCACAGCCAAAGCCTGTAAGTAAAATTAGAAACAAAGTAGATGTTGTTTGCCTTTTCTATTATACTAAGGGCTATGAATTACATGTAGGAGAGGGCAAAATAGTTCAAGTTCAATATGATAGGAATATCAATGATGTGGAAGGTTAATTCCAATAAAGTACACATGRCAGTTACTGCAATTGGCTCCCAATGATTTTTGTTAATTCTTGCTWCCATAGGTTGGTCGATACTCTCATACAGCCTCTTTATATCATAATGAATTATTTATATTTGGTGGTCAATTCAATGATGTACACCTCACTAATGAATTATGGAAGTTCAATTTGAATACATTAAAATGGACGCAGTTAAATGACTCCAATGGTCCGCCACCTCTAGCAATGCATACTGCTAATATAGTTGRAGATAAATTATACATTTTTGGAGGTATGTTTTTGTTTTATTTTATTAAAAATGGTATTATAAAATGGGCAAATCTGTCTGTGA